GAAAGACATAGCTATTAAAGGAGAAAATAGGGCTTTCAGGTTGGCACTTAGGTTAGAGACTTGGTTTTCTTGCACTTGGACTCTAACTGCAATGTGTACTTAGCCAGTTTTGTACCCCCTTGATCCAAAATCCCCCTCGGGAAAAATAAAAAATTCTGGGATTAAAAAAGGGTAAATAAACATGTGTTTCAAGGGCTTTCTGCTGAGTGGAGCTTACGTGAGTGTTGCTTGGGTGGTTCCTTTTCAGAAACTCTATTTTTATGGGATCACTTTGTCTTGATGATTCAAATGAGATATTTCCTTCTCTCCATAAGTAGAACTACGTCTCTTACCCTCAACAACCTCTTTGGCCCAGGAAAAACAGTGGCATGCCTCTCTCTTGGGACTTCTCACCACCTTCCTCCCTTCAGTCCTTGTCCATTTGCTTTTTGGCCTAAAACACCACGTTAGTCAGTCACAGTTCTGTTCTTCAAAGACTGGATATCAGCTCACATGGTGAAAATTGGACTGTGTGGATGTTTCCGTTCCTTCCATGAGACTTACCCTGTAACCTTAAAAAATCTAGGGGAAGTGAGACCTACAGAGGAATAGCCCACAATGGCACATATTTTTCCCCAAGACCATTGTCTTATATCTGAGAGTTGAAATCCCCCCAGATATCACTGACATTGTTCGAGAATGTGTTCTCTCTAGGATTTTCTCCTCTTGAAAAAAAAAAAAAAAAGCCAGCACCAGTTCTGGCCTGCTGGTAACTTAGAAAGTTATTGAGACAGGTTCTGCTCTTGGGCTTGCAGCAGCAGGTATCTGTGGACATCTGAGGATGATGGGGTCGTCCTTTCTAAGGGATGCTATGCAGGCTTATGGTCACAAGAGTGTCTTCTGATATTCTCCCTCCTTTTAGCTGAGATCTGTTTTCACATTGCAGGCAAAGCACTGGGAACAGCCCTGAGGTAGGAAGAGGGTCACATTGACCTGTGGCTGACTTGAAACTGGAGCTTTTACAGCTCTCTATATAAATTTGAGAAACCCAGGCCAGCAGGTAAACTCTTAATTGGTTTATTGGTATATGTTACTATCCGTAATACTTTTGTCCTGAAGCAGTTTTGGACTCTGTGAAAACAGTCTGGTCAATGGTTCTCCAACAGTAATCGCACAGTCCCTTGTTCCTCACATGTCTTCTTCATCCCCTGCCTTCCTCTTCCTTCCCTACTGCTGCCTAGCAGTCAGGTTGCTCTATTTCACACCTCATTTCCCACCAAACCTTTTGTCCCCCTGCAAACTTTCCCCGATCAGCCCTTCGTCTGCCAGCGCTGTTGTTCCCACTAACGACCACTGCACGAGCAATGGTAATCGCCGTTACCTGCAGGGGCTTTTCTTGTTCCTCCTGTCCCTCCTGGTCTCAGCTCACAACCAGGTGCTACATCACTGTTTTCTTTCCTCTTCCCAGCACTCTTCTAGCAGAGGCACTAAGTGATGCACATGCACACACAGACTTTACACGCTATTTTGAATGCAGGTACATTGCTCACAGACCACACAAAGCACAAGAAGCTGGAGAAAGGTTAGCTCACCTGTATGCTGTGGAACCTTTCTCTTCTGCCCGTGATATGCCTGGCTCACCTGGCAGTCAAGCTGCGCTCTGTTGGCTACAAGTGAACTGTCTTCTTCTCACCCCCAAGTCCAGTGTAGGGAGTTTTCTTTTCCCAGTTCATGGTTGGCTTAATGGCGAATGTTGGAGCATTCTTTGTCCTCCCCTCCCCGCTTCCTATAGAGAAGAGAGAGGAGGTGGTTTCTTCTCTGGTGCCTCATTCCCCAGTGTGTTCATTAACTAAACAATCACACAATTTTAATCCCAGACGTGTGTTCCCTGCCTGCCAGAGTGGTGACACTGTCTGTCCCAGCACACGGTGATCCCTGCTCTCACTGACGCTCCACACTGCAACAATTCCCTAAGAGCAGCTCTGCAATGTCAGTGATGCATCAAATGCCATGTACCCAGCTGACTCGTCAGGCTGCAATGTATGTACTGCGGTGTGTGTAGCTTTCTGCAGGTTTGCACTGCAGGGCTGCTGGCTGCTGAACCAAGAAACTCTCAGTTTACCCCCTGCTCTGTTTTCCTCAGCTCTTGCCATCACCTGTCTACCCCATGGCTGTCCAGTTTTTCCTGCCCCCAGTCTATCTGTGCAGTTGTCCCCGTGATTAACTGGATACTCAGCGGGGCTGTACGGCGTTACACAATCATGCTGCCCTGCTTGCTGCTGTCTCTTTGTTTCTGTGTATGTGTTTTATGTATACTTATAATCAAAGAAGGAAGAACAGCCACTGGATTATTTAAATTTATTTCTCCTCTGTTCTATTGCTTCATTTTAAAGGACCTTAACGTGGGCATGCTAGTTGCATCTCAGAACTATGTCTGGTGATGGTGTGCAAATCAGGCCTGTATTTAGCCCACACCACTGACTCATCATAGCATTTCAGTTGGTAACTCACCCCGGACTGACTTCTTCCTAAAGAGGATTTTCACATACTATGGAGAATGCCCTGGCCTGGTGGGTTTCCAATAAATTTTATGCTGTATGTTGCAGAAAGGAAGGCTCTGGGGATGGGAGTGGTGTACCTTAGGACCTCTTTCCTTACTCATAGTATACCTCTTTAGATTTACCAACTAACCTTTCACACCGTGGCCCTGGGGTGAGCAAGTGCTGGCCACAGTTGGAGGCTGGTGTTGGTGGAAGAAGGTGTGCTCTTAATACAGACCATCCCTGACCCATGTGCAGCACTGGCATGGGAGAGGCTGGGGAAGAAGGTGTTGAAAACAAGAGATTGGACCTAAAAAGGAGGAAGAGGCTGAGGGGCTGTGAGAGGAGGAAAGTGAGACAGAGTGAACCCTTGATAGAAGAAGGAAGAAAACTAAGACAGGGCAGATTTCTTGGAGGGGGAGATAAGAGGGTATAGGCTGCCACCCAACTACTGCATTCATATCAGAGAGCCACAGTCCTCACCCTAATTCTCTGCTGGAGCTGCAGCCAGCACAGGCAGGATCCTGCATCTCTTGTACACCAGGGTGTAGGGCAGAGCTCTCAGATTTGCCATGGTTTAACTCAGAGCCAGAAGTAAGAGGGCAACAGTCCCACAGCCCAGAGCTGTGTTGCACTGTATGATGCTTCAGCTCAGGTCAGTGTTAGTCTGAGCATCTTTGATGGCCACCACTGCTCAGTGGAGACTGGTCCAAGGGCTGGGCACTAATTTGGGCCAAAGTCTGCTCCATACAGGTAGGCAAAAATAATTTTTCATCCTCTCCCTGTTATTGGTCACTCTAGTGCTGACCAGCTCCTGATATAAATTAAAGGAGATCCAGAGTCATTTGCATTTACAACCTGCAGCAGCTGAATTGTTCCTGTGCTTAAATTAGCTGGAGGTCAGCAATCTTGAAACCTTTTCCCTGTTATCCTTTCTTCCCCTCCTCCCCTTTGCACTCCTCCACAGAAGGAGCAAAGTACACACTTATAACGTCTTTCTTTGTGAAGGAAGTCCTGAGTGATTTGGGGGAGGGTGATGCTGCCTTCACGTCCTGTAGTGCTAAAAGGGAGTGATTCCAAAGTAAAAGAAGAGGGAAGAACAAAAAGAAAAGCAATATAAGAGTAAAACATAATCTTTCTCTTTATCCACCCTCTTTCCCCAATAAACCCTGGCCTCAAAAGACACAAAGATCTAGGTGCAAGAACAATGAAGTGTGTGCAAGGCACCATGCTGTCTCTGCAGTGCTGCATTGCCCTGGCAAAGAAGAGCCAGAAACTTGCTTAGGGGAAGGCAGCAGGCTTTGGGCCACATTCAGGTGAAACATCAGCCTTGCCTTTCCATTCCTAATATGCTCAAGCTGCTGGCAGGCACGGCTGTGCTTAGGTAGGAGTGGGAAAAGCAGAGCTGCTGGAGACAGAGCTCATTCAGGTTGTGTCCGTGCCAAGGAGTGCATTTGAACAGACTCCCATGGGGCATGAGTTGCTGAGCTCCAGGCTCAAGCGAGTGGCAGGAGCGAGTGGCAGAGGCAGGGCTAGATTCGGTACGGCAGGATAGGCACGTCAGCCTCCGTGGGTGATATGTGCCTGGGGCAGAGGTAAAACTCCACACAGAGCTTAGTTAAAATCTGAGCTCTCTGTTGCCCAGACACAAACAGGGATGGCAGGAGCCCAGAGGAAGGACACAGAGGGTCTCTGTCTGACATGGTTTGTGCTGGTAGGACAGCACTGGGGGGGAGTTGCTGAGTCAGTGACTTCTCCGAGCTGGCAGAGAAATTATTCCTGCCCCCTGCCAGCACTTCATGCAGGTCCAGGGTACAGTTCCCAGAAGTGTCCCTACATATGTTAGCAAGAAGGCAACAATCGTCACATTTTGCAGCAAGAACAGCCTGGCAACTGATGCAGCACTGAGCTGTGAGCCTGGGGTAATGGATCTCCTGAGGGGAAAGCTGCGGAGCACAGTGCTGACGAGCTTAATCTGCTGACTGCCAGGGAGCAGGTTGTTCTTCCTGGCTCCGAGGCAGCTTTCAGGCAAGAACCAGGACTGGAAGCAGGCAGACTACCAGCTGCAGGGCTGGGGTCAGGTAGTACAGTGCAGCCCCCTTCATTACAGCATCCTCATTGCAGGGACAGCGGACTGGGAAAACTACAGTTCCCAGCACCCATTTGTGCCTGTCCCTGGAAACTACAGTTCCCAGAACCTTTTAATGAGCCAGAGAGGATGTCTATGGAAATAAATGCCAACGATTTTTGCATAACACCCTGCAGCTCCGAAGTGCTGGCCGGCCCTTGCTTAGTGAAAGCGGGAACAGGGAGCATCGGTGCTGTGGAGCTGTGGTCTTACCCACCCCTACCAGCTGCAGCGATATTCTCCAGCACAGAGCATCCCTCCTCCCCTCGGGACTCCCTCGGTGGTCACAGGGAGGACCCTGGCCCCCAGAAAACATGGCTGCTGTGGAGGGAGAGGCGATAAACTACAGATCCCAGCATTCTCCAGCAGGCAGCACCTGCGGCAGTCCCTGCATGCCGGGCAGGGAGGGGGATGAGGATGAGGATGAGGATGGAGGGTGGGGAGGAGATGCAGGGCGCCATGGGGCTACGCTGCACCTGGGACATCCCGCCACCAGCTGGCACCCAGGGCAAGTGGGTGAGGCTCAATGTGGGGGGCACCGTCTTCCTCACCACCAGGCAGACCCTGTGCCGGGAGCAGAAATCTTTCCTGTGTCGCTTGTGCCAGGGCGAGGAGCTGCAGTCGGACCGGGTAAGGCAGCTGGGTTGCCTCCCGCACCGTGGCCCACCGAGCATGGGGAGGGCTGGAGGGATGCAGGGATGGAGCCAGACCCCGACAGCTGCAGGAGTAACTGCGTGAAAAATGCCTGCTCTTTTTTCCCCCCCTCTCCCGGGAAGGATTTCCCCTTGCCAGACCCCACCTTGCTGTGTTGTAGCCTGGCACCTGTCTTCCCGAGCTGGGGAAAAGAGAGGCCATCTCCCCTCTGCCCCTGCTCTGCCGCCTCTCTGTCACCCCACATTCCCTGGGTCTACCTCCCAGCTGTATCTGCCTGTCTCAGCCTTGTCCCCTGTAAGGGGGCTCTCTGCTCCCTCACACCAGGCCTGTATGCACAGTTGCAGAAGGAGACTGAGGCCTTTTTTTTGGCTTTCTCAGCTGGGTTGGTCCATGCTGAGGTGGGCACGCTGAGCATACCAATACAGGAGTTAAAATCCAAGCTGGGCTAACTTGGCTAGGGACTCTCAGGGGCCCATGGTTTCCAAGGAGTCCTAGAAATAGTGGACATTTTTGCTTAGGTTTATATTTTCTTATAGTCTGGAGCATTTGAGGGTTGGTTACAAGTTTCCCAGGGCATTTTTCTCCTTGTGGTCTATTATCTCTGTTGCTAGGATGAGACTGGTGCATACCTAATAGACCGGGACCCCACTTACTTTGGACCCATCCTGAATTTCCTCCGTCATGGGAAGCTGGTCCTGAATAAAGATATGGCTGAAGAGGGTGAGTTTTGGAGCTCAGAAACTTCCCACTTAACAATGCTGCTGTAGCCAGGACACAGTAGGACTTGTTGTCAACCTTGTTGTCTCTCATTCTTCTTCTGGAGGCTGATGTGGGGGGATTTGAGAGGGCTATCCCTGCAGCTCTTGGAAAGCATATCGATGTTGCCTTTACTAAAGGGGTTCGGAGTAGGTGAGGAAGGCATCCCACAGGTGTTGTGGCTTCATGACTGTTTGTTCAGCAGAGATGTCACCAAGATGGAAGTAGGCAAGATCTCTCAGCCTCAATAAACCACTTATTACTTGTTCCTGATCCACTTTTCACCAGGCTCTGTGACTGAGTTTTCTGTTAATGACTGAGTGTTTCTAATTAGGAATGAAAACCCAAAAGACCAAACAAAACCAAGCTCATCTCTTCTACTGACTGTAATAAAGACCATCATTAATTAGCGATATGCAATATATGCTATTAGTGCTCTGATGGGTTGTGGACTGCAGCAATTCCAGTGGAGCAAGCCAGATGAACCAGTCCCTCATTTGAGGTTGACAGGGGGTCCAACAGGATAACTCAGTAACATCACGGTGTTAACCAGCCAGCAGTCCCCAATGCCTCATTATTTTTTGGATGGTAAAGTCTAACAAGGAGCCAATTCCAAAGACAGGCTGTGCTGTCCAGCCCTTGCCAAGCAGTTTCTGCATGTTCATTAGTCTTCTTGCCTCTCTCTTTTACATATTTTTACCTAATGCAAGGAAAGTTTTTTTCAGAATCATCTTATGAGTTATAATTCAAAAAATATATCTAAGCAATGGCACAGAATTGTAATAAACACAATTCTGAGGTGTTTCCTGCTTGACATTTCTTGTAATCCTGAGGTCAGAGTTCATCCACAGGTTTTAACATCAAATCCGAAGCATAAACAGGAGTCCCGTTCATAGTTGCACACTGCCTTTTGTTCCTGCTGCAGACACTCAGGCTGGCATAAAACTAACCCGTTGTTTGACAATTCACAACTGACTGAGGGACTCGGACGAGGTCTGAGTGTGTCAGGTAGTGAAGGATCAATCTCCCCACCTGCATTGTCTGTGTACTGCCCTGGGGACATGCGAGTGTTGGCCCCTAGCAGCCTTTCCCTCACCAGCCCTCTGGGAACCCACCTCCCTTTCCCTGAAGGCCTGTTAGCAGACAGGTGAGTCTCAGGGGAGGTGACGGAGGCAGACACTATAGAGAAAAAAACCAAAACACTTCTCTGTTTACCTGCTTTGAGGTGAAGCACAGCCGGGAGAGCCAAAGATCATCTGACGTCATATGGGGCTGCAAGGTGTGTGCAACTCCAACTGGCCCAGGAGGAAAGTTGGGATTTTCTAGGGTCTTTTGGTGACAAGGTCAGAACAAGTTGTGGTTCTCTGCCTTAAGAAGAGGGCCTGCACAAGGTGATAACTAGTGGTCATTGAGAGAGGCTGGAGCCTACATTTATTCTCCTTGGCCAGTTATCTGGGAAAGGTACTAGCAGTCCTCAGCACAAGCTTTCATTGCCAGTGCCTGTTTCTGTAGTAGCAGGCAGCATAAGAAAATTGGGGTGAGCATTAGAAACAATACAGAGAGGCAGGGTTCAGTTCTCTGCAGTAAGAGTTTCAAGCAACAGAAACCTGTTAAAAAGTGAGGCTGCAGAGTCATTTCTCCCTGTGGACCTTGGGAAGCTCAGAATTGGTCTTTTGCAAGCCAGAAAACAAAGACAGGCTGTTAACTTTCTGTCTTTATGGTCCTTCTGTCTGTCTTTCTCAGGCGTTCTAGAAGAAGCTGAGTTCTATAACATTGGTCCTTTAATCCGAATAATCAAGGATCGACTGGAGGAGAAGGACTACACAGTAACTCAGGTATGGAGAGAAATGGCAAGGAAAGATAGAGTGGGATGGGCAAAGGAGGGAATGTGGAAAGGGGAGAGGTGAGTCTAGAGGGAGAGCAGACTTGGGAGAAGCAGCAAGGAATGGAAAGAAACAACTAATTAGAGTTTATGTGTAATGTCTACATAGCAAAATCTTGCAGGGGACAGGCTGCCACCATTTTAGTTACAGTAAACAAGTTACAGGCTTGTTTTGCATCCCCAGAAGTAGTGTGGAATGTAACCCCTGAAACCAAATCAGCTCTCTAGCTTTTGGAAGAAGGCAGCTGGTTGCTGTGGGATATGCAAGAATGTTTGTGAGGAGAGCGAAGGTGTTGTGGGGAGGAGGGCTCTGGTGTGGGGAGTCCTGGGAGTGTATTCGCAGTGAAGAGCATGGGGATACCTGTAGAGAAACCTGGAGGGAACAGGTGAAGAGATGTCTGTGGAAGAGTTAAACGCAGACAATGAGGCACAAGGAATCAATCCTGTGGCACGATCCCACCTTGTCTTGGCCAATAACCTTTTAAAATCTGTCTTCTGGGAGTGTTGTCTGATATCTCACTTTTCATCATGTCTGCCTCAGGTTGTAAGCCTCCAGCAACACAGTCACTTTGTGCTCGCAAAACCCCCTCAGCATTTGTGGTATTTGCATAAATGACTTTGTAACAACAAATGCAAACTCCCCATCAAAAGGGCCCAGTATCTTCTGGGGACAATGCAGGAAGCACTCAGCTCAGTCCCTCCTCTCCAGAAGAGATACCGTTGTTCTTGCTTCCCATGACAGCATAGTAGAAAGTTGGGTTGTGGTTTCCACTCCCCTTTAACCTGGGACATGGGGAAGAGGACAGGTCTGTCAAGGAGGGGTACTACCACTTCATTCTGCAGGAGGGCAACAGCCTTTAACATCTGACCGTTGTCAACATGCTCTGCAATTTTGCTGTCAGGTGCCTCCTAAGCATGTCTACCGCGTGCTACAGTGCCAGGAAGAGGAGCTCACTCAGATGGTTTCCACTATGTCGGATGGATGGCGCTTTGAGCAGGTAGGGAGAAGATAGAGCAAGGTGGGAAGGAGTTGTCTTTTGGGGAAAAGATCATGGTTATCATACAGTCCCCAGGCAAGGCACCTTCCCTCTCTGAGAATATTGGGTCACTCATTGATGATGCTATCACAGTGGCTCTCTCTTGCCCCTTCTCTAGAGGTTTAGAGGATGCTGTGTGAGGTTAAGCTGTTTTGCATCCTGGCTGACTCCTCCTCTGGTTCTCTGTGCTGCCTCCTCAGCTTAGTTATGAGGCCTTTCTACTGGGGGTATGGATTGGACTCCATGCTGCATGGTGGGCTTTCCACCTTGCTCCCCAGGTGGAATGGATGTTTGCAGTAACATGTGCTTGTGATTCTTGTTCTCATCTTTTCTAGCTTGTGAACATTGGCTCATCCTATAACTACGGGAGTGAGGATCAGACAGAGTTCCTGTGTGTGGTCTCCAAAGAGCTGTACAACTCCCCCAATGGCCTGAGCTCTGAGCCCAGCCACAAAGCCAAGGTGAGACCAACTTTGCTATGGCCCTGCGCCCATTGCCTATGAGATCCTTTGCTCTTGTTCGCTCCCTCTTTCTTTTCTCTCTCCACTGTGACTGGGGCACCTCAGTGGTGAAATACAGGGGCTTGTCCTGGTGTTCAGCACCGTGGCATTACACCCATTGCCCAAAAGGAGGAGGGCATGTGTCGAGAGTGGTGGCATCTGGCTGTGTGTGGCAAATGGCTTTAGCAAATGACCCTGGCACTTCTCATGCTACTCTAACATCCCTCTCATGCCTTTCAAGACCATGCTTTCAAGACCATGCTGTGTGTCTCTGCCTCTAGGGTGTGATTTCCCTGAAGGCTTTGCAGCGTTCTCTTTCCTTTTGCTGAGTCCCAGCCTAAGGGGCAGGAGATCACCTGCTCCCCTTTTGAGGGAATGACAGAAACGTGGCAGTGCATGACATCCTGTAGACACCTAGGATACAGGAAGGAGCACTAGTGACTGATGGCAGTTGTTGGGCAGTGGGATCACAGCACTTGTAAGTGGGTTAGATAGCCCTGATGGGATGCTCCAGAGGAAGACAAGTCTCTTTGCTCCATGACCCAGAGCTGTCTTGGCCGTGGGGAAAGGTGCCTTTTTATTCCAGTGTCATGACCATTGCTTTATTCCCTTGTGTGTCAGAAAGAACTGCCATGGCTCATCTTGCAAGTATCTCCACTCTTTCTTCCCTTTGTCCTGCATGCTGGGCCACAGAGCACAGAGGAGGACCTGGAGGAGGAAGAGCAGGAGGTGGAGGAGGAGGCAGAGGCAGAAGCAGAAGCAGAGGAGAAAGGTGCAACAAATCCTTGAGGAAAATGATAAAAATAACCCCCCAAGCATAGACCCGTCCACCTTTCTGGTGAGAGCTTACAGCTAGCAGCAGGGAAGGACTAGGGCAGGTATGGGGTGTGGGGGCAGTCCTCTCCAGGAGCAGGAGTCTCTCTGGAGATAAAGCTGACAGGGGAGAGCTGTTACTGTGGCTGCTGCTTTGTATTTTAAACTGTTTTGTTTATTTACGGTCATGTTTTGATTTGCAGACTGCCCATCTATTCGAGATTGCACTAAATTCTTCCTTCCTCCGGACCCTTCCTCCTGCTCCCCTCTGTGTCCATCCCAGCACTGTCACCTACCTCCCACCCTGCCCCACTCCCCAGCCTCCAGCATCCTTCCCTCTGCTGTCTTTGCCCCCCCAGGGCTCAGAGTGGTCCCTGCCTGGGGCCCCGTCTCTCTCCGCTCCTCACTTTTCCTCCTCTGCAGGTACGTTACTGTCTGCACTCTCAGCTCCTGCCAGCCTGAGCTCTGCATGAGTGACTCACTTCCCTCTTGTGGGTATGGCCCTGGTTTGTAGAGCTTGGGGAGGGGAAGGAGGGAGGGGAGGTTGACTCATCCCTAAGGTGGCTTTTCCAATTCTCATTCTATGTGTGCCTTTACCTGCCCAGCAGGCTCTACGGCTCCGGACCAGAGGCTCTGGCAGCAGAAAGGAGACTGCAGCTAGGAGAAATGAAGAGGGGTGGAAAGGAATGCAAAGCAGGCAGGGGTGGCATGGGAAAGGGGGGGAAGTCTGCCACGTGTCTGCCTGACACGCATGCCAGATCGCTTCTCCAGACTGCCGTCCGCAGCTCCTTTGCCTGCCAGCCCGAGAGCGGTTTGCAGAAGGCAGCCTGTGATTTTCCCTTCCCTGCTCTCGCTTCCCTGGGCTTTTCCCTCACCGCCTCTGCCAGGGTGAGAGCGCAGTGGGAGAGGGTGGCGAAGGCAGAGTGGAAGCAGCCAGTCCCCGCTCCAGACGTTCTCAGCTGTGTACAAAACGAGCCTCTGTGCTCTGCCTCCTGCTCAGGGAGGCTGCCTGGCCAGGGTGCGTGAGGCTGAGTACCGAAGGCTTGAGAAGGAGGATTCCTCTCTCATACTGGAGAACTGGCCCTTGTTAAACCAGAGGTGCTCAGTGCCGCTGTCTGTCCTGGCACTTGTTAGCTGCCTGCCCTCTGTTTGAGAGCCTCTTTGTCCATGGCTGTGGGACCTGTGTGTTGTTCTCTTAAAAGTTGGTGTATGTTAATCACATGGACTTTTCCTTCCTTTTTCTCTGTTCTTCCACTCTCAGTCCTCATCTCTCTTCTTTTTCTTCTGTTCTCATTTCCTCTGTCATTTCCCTTCTCCTGTTTCTCACTCTCCCCTCCATGCTCAATCGCTTTTTTTCCCTGCCGTTGATTTTGTTTCTCTCTTTCTCTCTCCTTCTCTAGCTGTTACAAGCCAGAGGTCTGAGGATCTGATCTCGACACTCCACTCCAGCCTTTTAATTTCTGGTTTATATCTTTATTTTTGTACTGCAGTCTATGGCAGCTCCTTGTCCCACAGTGACACCCCCCAGCTCCCTTCACTCTTCACATGCAGCCATTCTTTTTTACAAACTCACCTCGGAGGCCTGAGCCTCAGCCCTGGAGGAGGGCAGATGCTCCCAGGAGCCCCTGGGCTGCTGCAGGGACTGGAGCCCTCACCCCCCTCCCATGCCTAGCAAGCTGGCTTTCCTTAATGTCACAGTGGCCCCTGCTGGGGACATCAGTGATCAGCCACTGCAGCCTGCGGTCCCTTCCTGAACACCCTGGATGCGACTGGGGCTCCGAGGTGGTGGCAGCTGCTGTAGGACCAGTCCTCACCCTTTCGCTGTTGCAGGCAGCTGTTCTGGGCTTGTGGCCGGAGGGCAAATGCAGAGCCACTGCCCTTTTCTGGGCCACCTGCACTGCTCGCAGGATGTCCCTGTGCTGCGTATCACGCTCCTTGGTGCCTTGCTCCCTGTCCCCCAAAGCAGCCTGTGTCGGCAGGGTGAGGGAGAGACAGGCCTGCTGCCCGGGTACCGGGAACATGCTGGCACCTGACGTTGTGTCTGCTAGCACAGGGAGATCCCTGCCTCGGGGAGCGGGGCATTTGCTTCACTGCTCTGTCTGAGGACACGAGGTTGTAACTCCTGAATAAAATTCACAGTCTGTTCCTCCTTGCCGCCTCTCATTTCAAGTGGCAGAAATTTGGCACTGGTAGAAGGGGGTGGGAGCTGGAGAAGAGGAGTTTGGATTCACCACCTGGAGCCACTGCTTGTGCTGCGCTTGTCTTCTGGGGGCTGGAGGTACTTCCTACCGCATCTGTGCTGCATCCCCACTGCAGGCAGCTGGGCTACACAGCAGGTTTGCTTAGTGGTATCTGCACCCCTAAATCACAACAATAAGCGAGGACCGCCTATCTAGCTAGCGTATTGACCCCACTGCACCTGGGACACAGCTGAGAGGAAGGGCAGGGGTGTGGAAGCTTTTGCCAGTTGCCAGTGCCAGGATTGGAATTTGGTCAAAAAGATACAAACCCCAAGATAATTTTTAAAGAGTGAGGCAAGCTAGAGCCAAAAAACCCTCTCAAATTAATTTTATTTCTAATTCCAGAAAGCGGCCCATTGTATATATATATACACACACACATATATATGTATATCTTCAGTAAAAAAACCAAACCCATAGCAGTCACTGTTTAAGCACTGTGCCCTTAAGCTTTCTCCTTCACCTCCTGGATTATCTGAGTTAGGAGATGGAAGCAGTTGAGACACCCTCATATTAAAGGTATTTAGAAAGGCTGAGGGAAGGGGATGGGAGGCTGCTCCAATGTTTTTACTGAGGCCTGGGGCCTTTGCCTGAGGGAGTCGAAGTGCGGCAGTGGAGGCTGGGTGCTGCTCCAGCAGGGAGGCAGGACGCGTGCCTAGGGTGTGATGCTGGACTCGTGCCTGGGAGCCAGTGAGACGTGAAGAGTTGCCTGGCTGAGCTGAACAGCATGCTGAGCAGCATACGCCAGCTAAGAAAAGAAGCAATTAGGGAGATGGAAGAGGAGGAGTGATGGGAGGGGAAGGGGGAAGAAGGATGAGCAGCAGGAAGGAAGAGGGAGGCAGATTGATTTCACAGTTACTGGAATCTCTAACTACATCAGTCACATTTTCTTTCAGCAAATGTTCCAGCATAAGATTGTGGCTGAATCACATGGTTCATGGGAAGTTCAACTCCCCTTATTCCTTTTCTCAGAAACCACCAACTCGGGGCCATTGCTGTGTGTCGTGTGTGTGTCCCCGGCCTCCCTGCCAACTCTTTTGGATGGATGGCCTAAAAACACCTTGGGATGCTCCCTGGGAAGCACTGAGGGGGAAGAGGGTCTGCCTACTTTTCTCTACAATCCCCAGCGCAGGCTTTTTTTACCCTGCTCAGAAGAGCATCCTGGGTCTGACAACATCCCACACAGAAACTCTCTCTGAGAGGCAAGCGAGCAAGATCAGGAATGAATGCTGTGTGAGTGTAGGTCTGATGGGGAGAAGGCAGAGATGCACTTTTCTCAGCTCATGGTTTGGTTCATCCAGCTCAGCACTTGAGTGATCCTGGTGTATACTCCATAGTGGTTTGGACGTGCGCATCCCATTCCCCAGCTGACCAAACCAGCCAGAAACCACCTGCCACTGGGTTCCTTGCAGGCCAGTGGACCTCCAGAATCACCCTAAAGAAAGGGAAAGAAAAATGGGGTGATTGTGATCCACCAGCTTCTCCTGCTGGATGATTACACTACCTTTGAGTCCCTCTGTATGCAGATTCCTGTATCCCCTCAACTCATGCCTGGGACACCTGCAAAATCCTTTGTACCTTAGGCAGATGTCAAAAACAGTCTCCAGTGCAAACATCTGACCCATTGTTGCATTCCTTCATCATGCAAATTCCTCCCCCTTAGCCAGCTCCCAAGAAGCTGACATCTCTATTGTTTCCTTCTGCTCCATGTGGCATTTCCAAATATATGGAGAGCAAGGAAACTGGTGGAAATTAACTGGATACCAGGAGGGATGGGAGACAGAGGAATTCCTTGAGATTGATAGTAATGAAGGAACAGACAGGTTACTGTGTGTGACAGATGCTAATGAGGCTGAGCGGGGAAGAGACTGATGTAGACTTGGAAGTGGGAGATAAAGAGTGGAGAATGAGCTGAAATGAGAAAAGGAGAAGTTTAAGTGTATTTGGATCCTGTCTAAGGCAAAGATGCTGGGAAGAAGTGGTCCTCAGAGCTGTTGTTGGCCACTTAGACCCAAGGAAGGGTTGGAGGAGTCAGGCATTTTATGGTCTTTTCACCCTTGTTTCAGGCTATGGAGTGCATTTGGGAGACTTGGGACACGCCCCACCTCTGGTAGTCAACCCTGATCCCACAACTTGTCATTCACCTGGCAGGCATCTTTCTTGCCCTTCTGGTACCCAGCACACAGCATCCTGGGAGAAATCATGTAGTGATAGGCCTCACTGCATATGTCCTGCTGGATGAGCTGCACGTCCACCTTCTGTAGAACATTGCTGATGTGCCCTGAGGGGTAGAGCACCAAAAACAGTGCAGGTGAGTAATGGTGGAGCTTTCCACCAGTTACCATGATCCCCCAGCCCATGCCCATCTCACTGCATGCTGAAAGCTGCCATCTGAATTACTGTTCTGCTCTCTGCTGGCATTGCAGTCGCTGACTTTCAGCAGAGCACTTCACTTGCATGGAGGGAGTAACATTCCCCTGCAGTCCCTTTCCCTACAAGGGGGATTCTCGTTTGGGGAAACCTCTGAGACGTTAGAGTTTTGGATTTGCTTCTCATTGAAATGGTTGTTAAGTTCTTCTGACTAAGTATGCAAACCAGAAGCGTCCACTTCTGGATAGACCTCTGAGTGTTTCCATTTAGGAAGCAACTGGAGCAAGCACATGAGTGTGAGTGAAGGCACTAAGCTCACCTGGGTGATCACATCTATATTCCTGTGCCATGCACTACCAGAGAACAGCCTGGACCTGTTTTTTGGCCCTATGGGGAGGGAACATTAGGGGTCATGCCCATACAGCTAAATTCTTCCTCACAAAACAGAATGGACTCATCCATACCACCTCATGGGAACAGGTCTTGGCCCATGCTGTTCCCCAGCAGTGTGTGGGCGTTATGTGGCCAAAATGGTACCAGGGCTCATGCTGACAATTACACAGTGTGATCCTCAGGGGACAGCACTCAGACCCTGCACTGCTCCCATTGAATTTATTAGTGCAGGTGTTTTTGGGGGCACCCAGGTCCTAGGGTCTTTGGCATGGGGAAAATATTGCTGCAGGGGCCACAGACAGGTGTCCCCAGGAGACCTAGTCCTGGTTTGATGAAAAGCACTTTTTCATCTCTACTCTCTCTGGTCAGGCTCTGTCCCTGGGAAATGACCCAACAGGAGCCCACCTGTCTACGCAGGCATGGGGTTGGGCTTTGGGTCTGGGGCTGCTCCACGCTGTGGCCGTGGCTGAATAGTCCCTGGTCAGACCCCTAATTCCTGAAGGGCTATTCTAGTCTTTGTATGAAGGAATATGTGCTGTCCCCATATAGCTTACCAGACTCTCACGCCTGCCTCTCTGAATGTGGTCTCAAGGCACTCATACAGGTAACTTTCACCAACCTGTGACCCAAAATCAAAGAGGGTGAAGGAGGCTTAATGCTTTGGGGTGAACAGAAGTCTATTCTGCCTACCCCACATCTGAACCTATGTTTCCACCTTGGCTCTGCTACAGTAGACCACCAGCAAAGACCTTGCACCTACCACCTTCCTTGAGGGCTCCCCAGCCAGTGATCCAGCAATGAAGGCCAGGCTCAAAGAGGTGAGAAGGAGCAGGCAAGCAGATGGGCTGGATTAAGGACGAGATTATCACAGGATGGTCCAGCTGGAGCAGGGCCACATCATAATCATGGCTGTCCTCCTCGTAATAAGGGTGAAGGAAGAGGCGGATCACCTTGAAGGACACCTCTGTGTGGCCGGTGGTGTTTTGGAAATATTTACCCAAGTAAACGGTCCAGATGGAGGCGGAGGCCAGTCTGTAGGATGCAGCAGAGAAGATAACTCATCACATGAACAGAGAAGTATGGGCAGAGCCTGGCTGCTTCTGTCGCAGTCTTTTGAGTAGTCTCTGATATAGATGATCATCTTCTTCAGAGATTGTTTTTTGGCTACTCATTTCAAGAAACTAGGAGGGACATCTCTTTGATGCCTTGACATGCCTGTACAGTGGGACCAGCTTTGGGCAGACACTCACACACATAGCCTCAGTCCTACCAAGGCTAGTGATACCATATGAAGGATGACCAGCAGCTCCTCCTCCTCCCCAAGCTCACATGGCATCAGGAGGGAAGGGCAGCCAGGGAAATACAGAAGTAGTAGCTGGGGAGGTGGAGGATCCCCACTGGCTCACTGGTGGAGGAAAAGGGGAGTTTGGAGGAGGTGGAGACTGGGCCTGAGGGTGCACACTCCTTCCCCCACCCCGCCCTGTCACCCAGCACAGCTGTGGACCTTCCTCCTCCTCACTTCTTCCCAGTT